TGGGGCAGAGAAATCTATGGGGCAGAGAAATCTATGGGGCAGAGAAATCTATGGGGCAGAGAAATGTGTGGGGCAGAAAAACCGAAATCGCCGAGTTTGAGCACGCCCGGGGGGGACAGGAGGAGATTGGCGGCCTTGATGTCCCTGTGGGGCACAGAAATCTATGGGGCAGAGAAATCTATGGGGCAGAGAAAAATCTATGGGGCAGAGAAATGTGTGGGGCAGAGAGAAATCTATGGGGCAGAGAGAAATCTATGGGGCAGAGAAATCTATGGGGCAGGATCTATGGGGCAGAGAAAAATCTGTGGGGCAGAAAAATGTGTGGGGCAGAAAAGCCGAAATCGCCGAGTTTGAGCACGCCCGGGGGGGAGAGGAGGAGATTGGCGGCTTTGATGTCCCTGTGGGGCACAAAAAAATCTATGGGGCAGAGAAATGTGTGGGGCAGAGAGAAATGTATGGGGCAGGAAAAAATCTATGGGGCAGGAAAAAATCTATGGGGCAGAGAAATCTATGGGGCAGAAAAGCCGAAATCGCCGAGTTTGAGCACGCCCGGGGGGGAGAGGAGCAGATTGGCGGCTTTGATGTCTCTGTGGGGCACAAAAAAATGTGTGGGGCAGAGAAATGTGTGGGGCAGAAAGAAATCTATGGGGCAGAGGAAAATCTATGGGACAGAGGATGGAAAATGTGTGGGGCAGAGAAATGTGTGGGGCAGAGAGAAATCTATGGGGCAGAGAGAAATCTATGGGGCAGAGAGAAATCTATGGGGCAGGATCTATGGGGCAGAGGATGAGAAATGTGTGGGGCAGAGAAATGTGTGGGGCAGGAAAAATCTATGGGGCAGAGAATGGAGAATCAATGGGACAGGAAAAGATTGGTGGCTTTGATGTCCCTGTGGGGCAGAGAAATCTATGGGGCAGAGAAATCTATGGGGCAGAGGATGAGAAATCTATGGGGCAGGAAAAAATCTATGGGACAGAGGATGGAAAATGTGTGGGGCAGAGAGAAATCCATGGGGCAGAGAATGGAAAATGTGTGGGGCACAGAAATGTGTAGGGCAGACAGAAATCTATGGGGTAGAAAAATCTATGGGGCAGAAAAAATTCTATGGGGCAGAGAGAAATCTATGGTGCAGGAAAGCCGAAATCGCCGAGTTTGAGCACGCCCGGGGGGGACAGGAGGAGATTGGCGGCTTTGATGTCCCTGTGGGGCAGAGAAAAATGTGTGGGGCAGAGGAAAATGTATGGGGCAGAGAATGGAAAATGTGTGGGTTAGAGAAATCTATGGGGCAGAGAAATTCTATGGGGCAGGAATGGAGAATCAATGGGACAGGAGCAGATTGGCGGCTTTGATGTCCCTGTGGGGCAGAGAAATCTATGGGGCACAAAAAAATCTAGGGGCAGAAAAAATCTATGGGACAGATGATGGAAAATGTGTGGGGCTGAGAAAGAAATCCATGGGGCAGAGAGAAATGTGTGGGGCAGAGGAAAATCTATGGGGCAGGGATGGGATCTATGGGGCAGATTTTGGGGATTTTGGGATCTATGGCATGGATCTATGGGGCAGATTTGGGATCTATGGGGCAGAGTTGGGATTTTGGAATCTATGGGGCAGAATCCATGGGGCAGACCGCAATCTATGGGGCAGAGATGGATCTATGGGGTAGATTTTTGGGATTTTGGGATCTATGGGGTGATCTATGGGGCAGAGATGGATCTATGGGGTAGAATCTATGGGGCAGAGATGGATCTATGGGGCAGATTTTTGGGATTTTGGGATCTATGGGTCTATCTATGGGGCAGAGCAGATCTATGGGTCAGGATCTATGGGGCAGGGATGGATCTATGGGGTGATCTATGGGGCAGATTTTGGGATCTATGGGGCAGGATCTATGGGGCAGGGATGATCTATGGGGCAGCCCCACCTGTGAATGACCCCCAGGCCGTGCACGAAGCTGAGTCCCCTCTATGGGGCAGAGATGATCTATGGGTCAATCTATGGGGTGGGGATGATCTATGGGGCAGAATCTATGGGGCAGATTTGGGATCTATGGGGCAGGGATGGATCTATGGGGCAGATTTTGGGATCTATGGGGCAGATTTGGGATCTATGGGGCAGGGATGGATCTATGGGGCAGAGTTGGGATCTATGGGGCAGATTTGGGATCTATGGGTCAATCTATGGGGCAGAGCAGATCTATGGGGCAGGGATGGGATCTATGGGGCAGATTTTGGGATTTTGGGATCTATGGGGCAGATTTGGGATCTATGGGGCAGAATCTATGGGGCAGACCCCAATCTATGGGGCAGGGATGATCTATGGGGCAGATTTTGGGATCTGTGGGGCAGATTAGGGATCTATGGGGCAGGGATGGGGCAGATTTTTGGGATTTTGGGATCTATGGGTCAATCTATGGGGCAGATTTGGGATCTATGGGGCAGATTTGGGGATTTTGGAATCTATGGGGCAGATTTTGGGATCTATGGGGCAGAGATGGATCTATGGGGCAGAATCTATGGGTCACACCCCAATCTATGGGGCAGAGATGATCTATGGGTCAATCTATGGGGCAAAACAGATCAATGGGGCAGAGTTGGGGATTTTGGGATCTATGGGTCAATCTATGAGGCAAATTTTTGGGATTTTGGGATCTATGGGGTGATCTATGGGGCACAGTGAATCTATGGGGCAGAATCTATGGGGCAGATTTGGGATCCACAGGGCAGATTTGGGATCTATGGGGCAGAGTTGGGATCTATGGGGCAGAGTTGGGATCTATGGGTCAATCTATGGGTCCCAGACCTGTGAATGACCCCCAGGCCGTGGATGAAGCTGAGTCCCCTCTATGGGGCAGATTTTGGGATCTATGGGGTGATCTATGGGGCAGGGATGATCTATGGGTCAATCTATGGGTCCCAGACCTGTGAATGACCCCCAGGCCGTGGATGAAGCTGAGCCCCCTCTATGGGGCAGATTTTGGGATCTATGGGTCAATCTATGGGGCAGATTTTTGGGATTTTGGGATCTATGGGGCAGATTTGGGATCTATGGGGCAGATTTTTGGAATTTTGGGATCTATGGGGCAGGGATGATCTATGGGGCAGCCCCACCTGTGAATGACCCCCAGGCCATGGATGAAGCTGAGTCCCCTCAGGGCCCCCTCGGCGATGGCTCCGATTTCGTCCTCGTTCAGCGGCTCCTGATGGACTTGGGGGGCAGAGAGAGGGGTCAGACCCAAACATTGACCCACAGATCCCAAAATTATCCCCAAAAATCCCAAAAATCCCCTAAATCCCTAAATCTGACCCACACATTGACCCACAGATCCTGAAAATCCCCAAAATCTGCCCCATAGATCCCAAATTCTGCCCCATAGATCCCAAATTCTGCCCCATGGATCCCAAAAATCCCAAAATCTGCTCCATAGATCCTAAAAATCCCCCAAATCTGCCCCATAGATTGACCCAAAAATCCCAAAATTATCCCCAAAATCCCAAATCTGCCCCACAGATCCCAAAATCCCCAAAATCTGCCCCATAGATCCCAAATCTGCCCCACACATTGACCCGCAGATCCTAAAATTACCCCATAGATCCCAAAATCTGACCCAAATCTGCCCCATAGATCCCAAATTCTGCCCCATAGATCCCAAAAATCCACCACAGATCCCAAATCTGCCCCATAAATCCATCCCTGCCCCATAGATTGACCCATGGATCCCAAAATCCCCCAAATCTGCCCCACACATTGACCCAGAGATCCTGAAAATCCCAAAAATCCCAAAATCTGCCCCAAATCTGCCCCATGGATCCCAAAATCCCCTAAATCTGCCCCATAGATCCCAAAATCTGACCCACACATTGACCCACAGATCCTGAAATTACCCCAAAAATCCCAAATTCTGCCCCATAGATCCTAAAATTCCCAAAATATGCCCCAAAATCTGCCCCACAGATCCCAAAAATCCCAAATCTGACCCACACATTGACCCACAAATCCTGAAAATCTTAAAATCTGCCCCATAGATCCTAAAATTACCCCATAGATCCCAAATCTGCCCCATAGATCACAAAATCCCAAAATCTGCCCCACACATTGACCCAAAAATCCCAAAATTATCCCCAAAAATCCCAAAATTATCCCCAAAAATCCCAAATCTGACCCACAGATCCCAAAAATCCCAAAATCTGGCCCAAATTCTGCCCCATAGATCCCAAATCTGCCCCACACATTGACCCATAGATCCCAAAAATCCCCTAAATCCCAAAATCTGCCCCACACATTGACCCACAGATCCTGAAATTACCCCATAATCCCAAAAATTCCCCATAGATCCCAAAAATTACCCCATAGATCCCAAAATCTGCCCCATAGATTGACCCATAGATCCTGAAAATCCCAAAATCTGCCCCAAATCTGCCCCATAGATCCTAAAATTACCCCATAGAGGCCAAAAATCCCAAATCTGACCCACACATTGCCCCACAGATCCCCAAAATCCCCCATAGAGCCCAAAGATCCCTAAAATCTGCCCCATAGATCCCAAAATCTGCCCCACACATTGACCCACAGATCCTAAAATTACCCAAAATTCCCAAATCTGACCCAAATCTGCCCCATAGATCCCAAATCTGCCCCATAGATCCATCCCTACCCCATAGATTGACCCATGGATCCCAAAATCCCTAAAATTTGCCCCATAGATCCCAAAAATCCCCCAAATCTGCCCCATGGATCCCCAAATCTGCCCCATAGATCCCAAATCTGCCCCATAGATCCCAAATCTGCCCCATAGATCCCAAAATCCCCCAAATGTGCCCCAAATCTGCCCCATAGATCCCAAAATTCCCCCATAGATCCTGAAATTACCCCATAGATCCCAAAATCTGCCCCAAAGATCCCAAAAATCCCAAAATCTGCCCCAGAGATCCCAAATCTGCCCCACAGATCCAAAATCCCCCCCAAAATCCTTAAAATTTCTTCAAATCTTCCCAAAAAATTCCCTCCAAAATTCCTTTAAATCTCCCCAAAATCCCCGCAAAAGAACCCCAAAATTTTCCCCAAAAAAACCCCAAAATTTTCCCCCAAAAAACCTCAAAACCCCCCCAAAAATCCCTAAAATTCCTTCAAATCTTCCCAAAAAATTCCCCCAAAATTCCCCCCAAAATCCCAAAATTCCCCCAAAAAATCCCCTTCAAATCACAACAAAAATCCCCCAAAATTGAAAATTAAAAAAAAACCCAAAATTCTGTTTAAAATTAAAAAAAAAATTCCCAAATTTTCCCAAATTTTCCCCAAATTTCACCTTCGAGCAGATCCAGGGCCGATCCCGCACAGAATTCCATCACCAGCTGGGGAGGGGCAAAAATCCCAAAAATTCACCCCAAAATTTCCCAAATTTACCCCAAAATTCCCAAATCCCAAAAATCCCCATAAAAATCCCAAAATTCACCAAAAAATCCCCAAAATTTACCCCAAAATCCCCAAAATTTACTCCAAAATCTCCCAAATCCCCCAAATCCCAAAAATCCCCAAATTCACCCCAAAATTTCCCAAAAATTCCCCAAAAATTCACCCCAAAATTCCCAAATTTTTCCCAAAATTTCCCAAATCCCAAAAATCCCCCCAAAAATCCCCAGTAAACCCCCAAATTGCCCAAAAATTCCCCAAATTTTACCCAAAATCCCTCAAATTTTTCCCAAAATTCCCGAATTTTCTGCAATTTTCCCAAAATTCCCCAAATTTCCCACGAAAAAGATCCAAAATCCATCCCAAATTTTCCCCCAATTCCGCCTTAAAACGCCCAAATTTTGTCCAAATTTCACCCAATTTTTTCCCAAAATCCCTCAAAATTTTCCCAAAATTCCCAATTTTTCCCATATTTTCCCAAAATTCCTCAAATTTTCCCAAAATTCCCCAAATTTACCCCAAAAAAGACCTAAACCCATCCCAAATCCACCCAAATTCCACCTTAAACCCACCTTAAAATGCCCAAATTTCACCCAAATTTCACCCAATTTTTTCCCAAAATCCCTCAAATTTTTCCCAAAACTCCCAATTTTCCCAAAATTTCAAGAATTTATCCCAAAAATCTCACCCAGGCCGTGTGATCCCTGAGGAAGCAGCCCAAGAACCCCACGGTGTTGGGATCCCAAAAATCCCCAAATTTCACCCAAAATCCCTCAAAATTTTCCCAAAATTCCCAATTTTTCCCATATTTTCCCAAAATTCCTCAAATTTTCCCAAAATTCCCCAAATTCACCCCAAAAAAGACCCAAAATCCATCCCAAACCCACTCCAAATCCACCTTAAAACACCCAAAAAACCCCCGAAAATCACCCAAATTTTGCCCAAATTTCACCCAAAATCCCTCAAATTTCTCCCTAAATTCCCAAGTTTTCCCAAAATCCCCAGAATTCACCCCAAAATTCCCCCTAAAAAAGACCCAAATCCACCCCGAAGGTCGCCCAAATTTCTCCCCAATTCCACCTTAAAATGCCCAAAAAAACCCCAAAAATCGCCCAAATTTCACCCAATTTTTTCCCAAATTTTCCCAAAATTCCGGAATTTTTCCCATTTTTCCCAAAATTCCCAGAATTTATCCCAAAAATCTCACCCAGGCCGTGTGATCCCTGAGGAAGCAGCCCAGGAACCCCACGGTGTTGGGGTGGCGGAGTCGCTGCAGCAGCTGCACCTCCCTCACCATGTCCTGCCATTTCTA